CATGAATTGTTTTAAAGCAAGCAAGGAAAGGCACCTCCTCGCCGGCCGAATGCAGGCTTGATTTTTTGTCTTTAAATGTTTTTTTTTTTTTTTGAGACAGAGTCTCACTCTTTCTGCCCGGGCTAGAGTGCCGTGGCGTCAGCCTAGCTCACCGCAACCTCAAACTCCTGGGCTCAAGTGATCCTCCTGCCTCAGCCTCCAGAGTAGCTGGGACTACAGGCATGCGCCACCATGCCCGGCTAATTTTTTCTATGTATTTTTAGTTGTCCAGCCAATTTCTATTTTTTTAGTAGAGAGGGGGTCTCGCTCTTGCTCAGGCTGGTCTCAAACTCCTGAGCTCAAACGATCCGCCCACCTCGGCCTCCCAGAGTGCTAGGATGTCTTTAAATGTTGATTGACTTTTTTTCTTCATGTGAATGTGATAGATGCTCTTTGTAGAAAATTTAGAAAACAGAAAAGCGTAAGGAAGACAAAATGTCTTGTCATTCCCATCACTGAGGAAAGTCAACATTTTGGTGTATTTATTTTGGTCTTCTTACAAACTGTGTGGGGTAGTTGAAGTCTCAAGCTCTTTTTAAAAACAGCCTCACTGAGATATAATTCACAGACTATCTAACGCCACGCTTGTAGGGCAGCGTTCTCTCCTCCCCGCCACAGTCAGGCGCTCCCTTCACAATCCAACGTGAGTCAGATGGATCTGGGCACTCAGGGAGCTTAGCAGGAGTGTCAAACTCACACCATAACAGTAACTTCAAACACTAATAGCTTTGAACAACAATAGCTTCAAAACAAGGTGGAATGCTTTAAGTGCCCTGGGAGAGGAATAATATGGGGTCGGGATGGGTGCTCAGAGGAAGGACGTTGCTCCCACCTGCAGGACAGGTAGGAACTGGGAAATCCTTCCCTGACAGTGCCCTGAAGGATGAGTAAGCTTTGCCCTGTAGCAAAGAGATCCAGAGAGAAGAGGTATGGGGAGAATAAGCCATCTAGTGTAGCGGGCGTGAAGGAGGCTGTTTGGAAAGGGAGGTTAATGCTGGGTCCTCAGTGCCTTCAATGCCGGGCAGGGAGTCTGAGCGTCAGTCTGTCCTCTGCACCCCAGAAAGGCTAATGCCGTTCCTGCGTTAGATTGACGTGTCCCGTTTCCATAAAGCTGGCATCCAGCCCCTAGTCTGCAATGTGTTCCCCTTTTACATCGATTCATAGCATCTTCCCCCAGACTATAACCTGCCACGAATGCAAGGATTGCCTGTAGAAAATTAGCTTTAATCTGTAATTTCGTCAATCGAGCAGAGCCGTGGGTGCTGTGAGGCTCATTTTTTCAGGATAAAGTATCTATCAACTCACTTCGATGTGAGTTAAAATAAACCAGCTAGTTAAATCCCACAAAGCTTACAAGAACTGGGATTTTCCATGTAGAACAACAGGCAAGTAAAACGAAACAATTAAGACTTTTTCTCTCCCAAGGTCAGCAGTGTTTGGCCTTCAGTTCATCTGATGTGCTTGTTCTCTCTCTTCTTCACCATTTGGCAGGGGCAGAACATCAAGACTGTCTGAAGCTGCAGTGTAGTTCATTACAGAATTATCCACTTTGAAAAAGCCTTGACTGCTTGTTTTCCTACCAGGAAACTTCGTGGGGAAAAGAAAAATCAACATACTCCTCCACTCGGCATAAATGTTAATTCTGAACACAACTTCTCTTAGTATTCTTGTGGCAAACAGAGCAGCTCAACAGCCTCCCTGAATAGCTGTTTGTGCTGCATACTTGTTTGGGCCTTTTGTTTTCTTGGTGTACTTCAAAGAAAAGGGAACCCTTGTGCAAAATTGTTGCCTTTTCATAGATATTCCTTACTCCAACCACAACACTGAATTTCAGGTGCTCCACTAATTTCTGAGGAATAATTACAGCACGTATTTTAAAACACTGCCCTTAGGTCATTAGTGTTTTGAGGATTTGCCAAATATCCCAAGTCACCAAAATAAACCTCTGTTTTAACCTGTAAACCTTCAGTTTCCTGCATTCTCAAGAGACCAGAAAGTCTCTTCTCTTTCAACAGCCCACACTGTGGGCCATGGAACAGGTCATTTTGAGAGAATACCCCGTGCCAACAGGACATCCCACGTGTCGGTGACGATTAGCCATGATCGTGTCAAAGCACGTTGCTAGACAACTGTTTTGAGTTCTAGCTGTTCCTTTTTACAAAGATAAATATCCCCTTGTTCCAACAATAGCACAAGAAAAGGTCTTTTTTTTTTTAAAAAAAAAAAAGACTTCTTGGTTTTTTAGGGGGATTCAAAAGCTCAAGTGAGCTTAGTTTCAATTTTAAAAGATCTTAAACCTCTCACAGAAAGCCTTTAACAACCCGTTTCCAAAATGACAGATTTTTAGACATTTAGACACAACGTCTGAATTTTGTATCTCAATTTTTCTTGGGACCAACAGTAAAATTTGACATTCAAGGTGAGGCCCCGGAAAGGAATTTTTGTTTGCCAGAAAGGCTGGAGCCAGCTGGCCTGGGAGTGCAGCTAATACCACTAGACATTTACGTGCACCTGCTCTGCAATTCCACTTGTGGGGAAAAGCCTGTCATTCTGTCTGGACAAAGAACAGCACAAGCACAACTTTCAATAATGTCAGTTAAGAAAACGCATAAACATGCCAAACGTTATTCGGTAACTTCTAACTTAGCTGAAGTTGTAGAAAGAAGAGTGGTAACCACGCAAGGTACGCTTGATAAGACTTGACGAGAATGGCATTTTATCTCTGTGGTCCCCAAACCCATAAGCCAGCCTAATCATGTGAAAAATACCATACAACTCTCAACAGAGGGACAATTTGCAGAATACCTGAGCAGTATTCCTCAAAACCGCCAAGGTCATCAAAAACAGAAAATCTGAGAAACAAGAGCTGAAGGAAACATGATAACTGAATGTAATGCACTACGCTGCCTGCATTCTGGAACAGAGAAAGGACATTAGAGAAAAACTAAGGAGACAGAAATACAGTATGGGCTTTAGTTAATAATGACATTACCAGTATTGGCTCACTGATGAAGACAAATGTGCCACACCAATGCAAGATATTAACAGTGGAAACTATGATAAGGAGTGGGAAGTACAGGGAAACTGCAAGTTCTTGCGATTTTTCTGTAAATCATAATCTAAAATAGAGTTTATTGAAAAAAAAAAGTCTGAGTGGTAACATGTTGGTTTGTTTTTAAAACACTATTTCAGTTAGAAACATAACAGAATCACTGTCGCAGCTGGGTAAACTGGGAGCCCAAACACACCCTAATGTAGTTTCAACAACTGGAAGAGAACAGAGAAAAACGAGTGGTTCGCCTTTCCCTATTCCCATGTCAAAGCACATTAAGTGTCTGAGAACTTCCTTGGAAGAAGTCCGCATCTCCATCTCTAGCAAGGAAAAATTTACAGACCAATATTAAAGCAAAGTGTTGCTGGAGATCTGCCGAAATAGATTTCTGTGTTTTAAATCAGTCACTAGGTGAAATTTTTGGTCTCAATCTTTAAGCATCCGCTTTATACTTTATCGAACTTAGTTTAAATAACGTCATAGTACTGAATCATTTATAAATGTTTATTAAATGTCAGTCATTTTTACAAAGCAAGTATTAATAGCAAGAGGCAATTTTTTTTTGCAAAATATGTACAAAAGTAAAAAGCCTTAATGAACTAGCAACTCGTTTTATAAAATCAAACCATTTCTTTCCACTTTTAGACCTCCTTTAGAAATAATTTATTGCCAATCCTGAACTAAAGCACTGACAAAAAAAAAAAAATTTACAACAATATCAGATAATGTGCTTAGTTCCTGGAAAGTTATAAAAAGACATATGTAAAAAATCCTAAGCCACAAATACTTTTATACGAGCTAATACAAATCATGTTTTGTTAGGTACAGTATCTATGAGGTTGTTACAAAATAAACTTTTTGATAAGGCTTCTGTGGTAAATGAGCTCTCGCCATAGCAGAGTAGAATAGAAAAGCCATTTAAAACATTTTGCGATTCTGCTTTCAAGTAAGAGGTAAAGAAAGGGTATAGTCTGTTGCACGGTTGCATATACTTTGCAAGAATCCCTACCCCTTCCCCTTTTTTCCTGGTACCATCAAAATGGCTTGCTTTAAGGACAAATTCATCACTTACTATGGCAAGAAATACATAAACAAGCTTTCTAAATACAAACCAAAATCAAAGTAGTATATTACTATCAGTGATACTCACTGACTGAAAGCTTGTGCACAGTGGGTCCCAACATACTTTGATCCATCTGTAAATTTTTATCATTATTATCAACAGACTTGTATAAGTCACAAAAATCTCTTTATCAACCAAGAAAATACTGCCATATCATTAATGCTTTAAAAAACAATCAACATTCCATATGCTCTAGCATTTGAAATCAGACTGTTAGACCTGAATGTCACAGAGCAAACATATTAATTTAAATGCTAACTATACATTCAAGTACAGACATAAGAATGTTAGTGGTACAAACACTGTACTTCAAATGTTAATAATCACCTACCAGCCTAAGGCTAATACCTACTTGATGGTACTTGAAAAAGTCATAAAGTCCAACTTGTTTAAACTGTTCAGGTTTAGACTTATACTGCAATAATTTATACTTCTCTAGTACAATTTTATTAAGCCCTAACCTCGTACCGTAAAATAATGGCCATGTACTATATCATCTGCTTTATTTGGAACAAGAAGACACATAGACACCCACTCATAACCTCTCCCCTCCTGTTTACCAGACTGAAAAGCCACCCTGTATCCCATCATTTAAAAAAAAAATTGAATGCTTTTAGTAGAGCAGCACAACACAAGGATGGATCATCTGTGATTAATGGAAGTTAACATGCTGAAATGATGGGAAAGAGATAAAGCGACCAAGTCAGATTTCCAACTGAAAAAGACATGAGCACAATTGTTCTTGATTCCTCAGATAAAACTAAAAGAAATGAAAAGGTAACAGAGTGACTTTCTCTAGATTTATTAGGGAGTTTGTTACAAATGTTTGACTGGGCTTTACACACATGATTTCATGGATTCAAGCAAGAAATTAAGAGTTAACACTGATAGTTAGCCTTCTCATTACATACATAGAAATAACATTGCTACAAATTGCAATGGAGAGAATCTCGTTTCAAATGACTTGGTTTGGGGTTTTGTCTAAATGTGTCATTATATAATGAAAGCACCAATTTGAGGGTTTCTCAAATAGTGATTTTGAGTTTCAGGACATAACAGCATAACTTGGTAACTTTATTCTTCATTTAAATAAGGCATAACCAGATATGCGTAACTGATGCTGAAAATACATTTTATCAAAAGCATAAATACAAGTATTTGGGTACACATTGAAAGTTAAGATTCACCCATTCCTTCTTACAAAAAATTTTAAGAGCATATGATTTCTGTTGAATCTACACCAGTATTTCTAATCATTTCTGGTATTAAGGTGATCGTGATCCTATTTCCTTCTACTTTAAACAAACCACTGCCACCAACTGAGCAGAGATTTCCCTCGACAGCTCTAATCTGAGAGATCAGCCAGAGGACCTTCTCTAAGTACATGCCAACGCAACTTAAAAGAAAACAAGACAAAAATGAATGATATTTTTCATTTCGTATTGCCCTCTTTGGTTGCAGCTGCACTCCAGCTATGGAGTGCCCTTTCCAGATAATAAAATTGAAATGAAGATTTCTATGTAATGCGATATTTGGCAGAGAGCAACAATTCAGGTTATTAACAATTATGTTTAAGTGGCAGAGGCTGCCTTGAATTGTTTAGATCTTCAGAAAACATTTGACAAAACCCTTTCCCTATAAAAATTAATGTTTAAATTTGTGTTGTTCTTGATTTATAAGGCAACTCTGTAGACTAGAAATTTCTTCAAGGTCAACAGACACTTGTGTGATATTTCTTCAGAATTAAATGAGAAGGCATTCAGGTTTAAGAACAGAACGTAATATAGAAATAGGCACGTTTTATTCCAAATCCTAACCATAACGATTTAGAAAATCAAAACACGCCGAAGAACTTTAAATCTAAATTACTTTTTGAGAGACTAGGGGGAAGTTGGCATAGGGAAAATTATGAGCACCTTTTTAATTCAGTTCACTGAATTTCATCTCCCTCTTCATACAGTGGTATTTCAAAAGGATCCAGTTTTCATGATACAGGTATGACTCCTTCAAATGGTTTTGAAACACAGCATATAAAAGAATGCGGGCTAAAGCCTTCAGATTCAACCTTACAGTTCCATTAAATGTCTGAACAAGCTTAAGTTAAATATAAGTGTCACTGCCTCAAAATATATCCTAGATTTTATTTTAAAACAGTGTTGATTCTGAGACATCACACACATCAGGGAATAAAACTGCAAATGCCCAAAATAATACCATATCTATTTGGTTGGTGTTTTAACGGTTCTTGGTGGTTAGTCAAAATGGAGAAACTTAGCGATTTGTGCTTTGTCAGGCAATATTTATGGTTCAGAGATCTTAAATATAACTTCAATAAGACTAAATGTTCTCTTTCTGAAGGGATGTGACTTTAGCCTTCACTGGAGTTAAATGTCTGGCTATTCAATAAAACTATTTGCTCAATTTACACGTAGACTCTCCACGGAACAGTCCAAATGTGACTGTATACATATTCAGATATTCATTAGCACTGAAATTATGCTAACCTTGTAAATTTATAAACAATCTATTCTTTTTGGCAAGAAGCACTAGATGTGGAACTATTCAAACATGCACAGATTATACTATGTACACCTGCGTTATGATGTCAAGCTACAAATCTGTAGCTCATGTATTATCAAGGCATGAGAAAACACTGGAAGTTACATGGATATAATGATAGTGGAACTTCAAATGCAAGAAAAGTCAGGTATGTGAAGAACGATCCCTGGTTAGCTCACTGAAAAGCCCTGCTCTCATACCAGACAGCAAGGCAGAACAAGAACCACTGACTTGTAAAGGCTGGGTGATCCACAATGTTAACCAATCTTTTAAGGACTGATAAAATACCTGAGAACACAGTCAGCTATACAGTAAAGTGACAGATATCACAGTCTTAATCAAAATTTTCAGGAAAAGCAGAAAAGCTATCACTTTTCAAACTGTCACCAGCTTCATATATCTGTTTCTCTGATCCAATTTTAACACTACATATAACCTACAAGGCAGTACTTTTAGTACTGCAAACCAGCCATTCTGATGAGTTCACTATGAATGTATTTGCAATCATAAAGCTACTTCATGGATATGTTTTAATTTGATAAGCAGCGTGGGGAGGCCAGATCCTTAGGTGTGAACTAAAAAAAATCACTACTTATCCTCAGAAGCATCCTTAAAACATTTAAAATATACCTCAAAAAAGCTGGCTTTCCATAAACAATAATTATACAAACGTGTACATACTGTATCATTTAGAGACACACCAAGAATCAACAGGAATCTCAAATAATGCCTTCTTGAATAGTTTGGCAGGAAAATACAGCCCTTGGTAAGCTCCAAACAAACAAACAAACAAAATCCCACCAATGCCACAGTTTGGAGTTGATGGGAATGGACAGGAGAGCAAGAGAGATGTTTGCGACGATGCAACAATGCTTTTCTACAGGAAAGACCAAGATCAACTAGGACAGGACTTACAACACATGACATTCTGGAACAGGTAAGTTTATTTAGAACTTTAGTTCTGTTACCAAGTTGCTTGCAGTTTTTAGATGCTGCCATGGCCAGAATGTTTCACATATGGCACATTACATGATAAAGAAATGAAAAAGGCAAATTATATTCCACTCATCGCTTTTGATCAAAGCACTGTATATGGCATTTGTTTGCCTTCTGCTCCCCTGTACCACTTGTGAACTCTTGTCATCAGCATCAGACCAGAAATCTGTACGGAAACTTTAAAACGCTAACAGCATTACACCTTCAGAAACCATAGAAATTTAAAAACCAAACAACTGTTGTGTGTACAAGCAATTAAAAAAACGAAAGCTAAACCTGTGTAAATCTACAGAATGCCATTCCTTAGATCAAACTTTTTTCTAACAGCCCTTTCAAAACAGGAGGTCACCATAAAGCTAGGCAACAAGTGTCGCTGCTATGTGTAAGGCAGACAGACTTGTTTTAGAACCAAATATTCCCTACCTCATACCTATAAGTATTCAAGGACACCTTCTATACTTGGCACTATAGGAGAATTCAGTTTGAAAAGTGGAAGGCTTTAAAGCCTGAAATATACCTAGTCTGAGGTTGGCCAGGAAGTTATAACTCGACTTGAACGGAAGCCATAGTGAAACAGATCAAAGCCTGAATTTCAGCAAATCCTGGCGATTTGTTATTCAACAGCTTTCAGCCACAAACCAAAGGCAGCAGAAAAAAGACTAAGATTTTCAAGAAGTTAAACACAGAATCAAAATTTTTCTAATTCCTGTTGTAAACTATTTTAAAAAACAAAACAAACAGAAAACAATCGAAAAACAGAAAAAGATATTAAAATAGCAAGTCTTTTGTACATCACTGTAGCATAAGCTGCTTGAGGTTGTCATGAAGAATAGTATCCTTCACATCACGAAAAACAAGGCGGATGTTTTCTGTGTTGATAGCAGTGGTGAAGTGGTGGTATAGGGGCTTCTGCTGCTGGTCCCGGCGTTTGTTCCGGAAACATTCCACCAGGAATTTTTGGACGTCTCTTAAGCAGTGGGGATCCCCTTCAAATTCTAGGAAATAGTCTTTGATGCTCACAATTTGCACTTTCTCCTCAAGCAAGTCTGTCTTGTTTAAGAACAGAATTATGGAGACATTGCTGAAAACCCGGTTATTGACGATTGTTTCAAAAATGTTCAGGGATTCTGTAAGGCGATTGGTCAGTCGATCTTCCATAAGCACCTGGTCAAATTCACTTGAGGAAACAAGGAAAAGTATTGATGTCACACTGTCGAAACACTCAAACCAACGTTTCCTTTCTGACCTCTGACCACCTACATCAACCATTTTGAAAGGAACATTTTTAATTTCAAAGTCGTACTCATGAATGCCTTTGGTGGGTCTTCTGGCAAGCAGGATATCTTGTTGTGATGGAATGTAATCCTGGAAAAAAAAATTGTTTTATACTTAGTAATCAAGAAGTAATTATTAGAATTTTTAATGGACTACTAACTGCCCTAGTGAATGGATATACAAACAAAATGGTATTTTTAATGACAGTTTCTGATACATCAAAGCATCAATACTATTACCATTATTATTATAAAATGCCAAAATACATTAAAATGTTAGTTTACAAAGACTGGTTCAAAATTCACTGCAAGCGGCTAGCACACGCTGTTGTTTTCACAGTGGCAATACTATCCAAATTCAAGTCTTATCTACCAATTGTCCTCCTCCACCTCCACTGCTGTGTATCCGCCTTCCCAGTTCCAGGTTCTGTCCACTTCTCTCTAACCCATTCTAAGCATTCCTTTACTGTGCACCCACCCTCATGACTTACAGTTTCTATACTAGGTCACTCTATGCTATCCTTGCTGCTATATTACATGTGTGAAAAACACTTTCTCTATTCTAACTAATCACTGTGGACCTCTTGCTAGGTTTTGCTCCCAGGGTACAGTCTAAGCAGCTATGCTCCAGCTTTCTCATTTACTGACCCAAGAACTCACAACTAGTTATCTGCTCTGAGTGTTAGCACCTCTGCCTGTGAAATGGAGATGACCACACCTGGCCTACCTACCTCGAAGGGAGGGTATTGCAAAGGTCAAGTGTGATGTTCTCTGAACTCTTGATCGGTGAACTCTCAGACTGAACAAGTGGAAGCTCTGGTCATACGAGTCACCAGCTACCTGATGGTGTACTTCCTTATGCAGTGTAACTGGTTCTTCCTTCTCAGTCTAGTATTTTTCCAGAACTCTGACACAGATTTTTGGCAATATATGGAGATTTTAATGTTCATCATCAAGGTCAAAATATTTTAAAAATCAAGGCAGAATTTAAAACAATGCAGACTGGTATTCATGATGCTGCAATTTATGCCTGAGTAGTATAATAAGATTTTGAAATTTCAATACAATATGAATACTCACTCATCTCCTTAAAATGGTGCAACGGAATTAAGAATTTAAAAAAAAAGTAGGCCGTCCTTAGTTATTGGAAATCCACAGCCATTCATTAAATAACTCTAGGACTGTAATAAAAGTGTTAGCTTCCTCGTGTTTCCTTCTAGCTTTTGTTCACGTATCTACGCCTGCCTCCACATTTCTGCTTAATATTAATATTTTATCATGAACTAACTATTCCATATGCTGATACTGTCACATCTCATTTAAAAAAACTATAAAATATATCAAATGAATTAATGTGCTATAATTTACATTAACATTCCCCTTAAAGGTCACGTAGGTTGTTTCCAATTTTTTGCTGTAATTAACAGAAACACTCCGATTAAAATTCTCGTGCACATAATTTTTTTTATTTTGGATTATTTCTTGAGACTAAAATAGCCAGGAATAAGATTATGAGGTGAAAGATTATAAACTTTTTTTTTAACATTAAACATGACTTTCAAAAAGGTTACAAATATTTTAATGACCCCGAACACGTAATGCCCAGTTGCTTTCCAGAAGGTAGTACCAATTTACAGCCACATCTGTGCCAGCTACTTCCGAAATGTGCCACCCCTGAGCATTAAAAAAATGTTTAATTCCATAAAAATAAAAAGTTCTCTATTTTGTCTTTATTAAGAGCTAACACTCTAGATAGAACGCTAAAGGCTAATTCACATGAAGCCCGGGCCAATGCAATCCAGTGCTAAACGGTCTGGCAGACTGTGTTGATCAGGACACGCACACGCCAGCTGTGTGACTGGGCAAGTCCTTAAACCTCTCTGTGTCTCAATTTCCTCATTTGTAGAGATAACATTTATAGGGTTGCTAAGAGGACTAAATGAGAAGTGATCAAGTGAAGTCAGTAACAACTGTGTTTGGCATATTTGTGTCAGCTGTTGCCACTGCTGTTGCCACCACTGCCACCGCCGAAGGGAGGGCAGTCAAAGAAGGCTGGAATAGCCAGATACACTTCCATCGACTCTCTCGTTTTTCAGTGCTCACTGGTCATTTGCACTTGAGAATCTATTCACAATGGAACACAAACACACTCAGCAAGAAAGCTCGCCTTCTTCCTTACCTACTCCTCCAAGTCCCAACGGTGCGTTCTCCTTCCTGCTCCCTTCCCACCCCCCTCCAGCCTCTTTCAAGTCTTCAATCGCCTTGGACGCTTCTCTATCGTCTGCTATTTTGTATCAAATCCCACTGTTCCTTCTTTGAATCTTACATGTTTCCTTTTCTCCTATTCCCACTGCCCCCACTTTTTATCACCTTGGGCGTGGCTGCCATCTCTTCACTAGTTTCTTTGCCTTCACTGTGTCACATTTCTGGGATCCATCTCTGAGCCACTCTGTACCTCTCCCAGGCTAAACGAACCCTCTTGCGTCATGATTCCAGAACTTACAGTGGTGTTCCTCACTGCACCAGACCCAAACTCTGCTGACTGGCTTTCAGGGCCCTCCTTACATCTTGCTTTCTGGAATCAGACTCTGTTCTGCACTAGTTCAAGTTCACCGCAGTGCCTAGCATCAAGACCTGCACAAAGCTTCAGTCTTACTACCGTTACATGTTCATGCGTTTGCACAGCAGTGCAACTGCATGAACAATGCATAAAAACTCAAGCTACCACCTTCTAGAAATCTGTTTTTATAGGTTAGAGCCAACAACTTCACATATCCTTCATCAGACAGATGTGCCTTCTAAAACTAAACACATCCAGCTGTCTCCCATCTTGGTGGGACACATCTCTTTCCATATCTACGTCCAACCCATCCTTCAGGCCGTTCAGGTTCACTTACTCTTATGGGCTAGCTCCAACCTTTCTAGCCAAGACATCTCTCTCCAGTCTGAGAACTAATATTATCATCATTCAGTTGTCCTCCGCTTGTTTCATGTATGTTAGTTCTGTCTCCCTGACTAGACTGAGCTCCTTAAATGTAGGATCAAAGAACAGCTAACACTGAGCATTTACTACATTACTATAGCTTCGGGGTTTATTTCATATAAGTGTCCGACAACCCTACGAGATCAGTTCTCTTACTATGCCCATGTTAGGGATGAAGAAACTATGGTTTAGAGAAGCCTGAGGTCACACAGAGCCTGTCCGTGATGGAGCTGGGATGGGAGCCCAGGCCGTCTGGCTGCAGAGCCCACATCCTGGACACCTGTGCTATTCCAGCCCCACGGGATTACAGGGCTCGGCACTTGGCAGGGCTTCTGTGGCCCTGGTACTTCAGTAAGAAATGGAACAGCAAACACGATCCTGTGACTTGTCCCAGATATACAAAATGAATGACAAAAATACAGTACACCCAGGTTTCTTGTAATTTTTTTTTTGAGACAGAGTCTCACTCTGTTGCCTGGGATAGAGTGTCATGCCATCAGCCTAGCTCACAGCAACCTCAAACTCCTGGGCTCAAGCGATTCTTCTGCCTCAGCCTCCTGGGTAGCTGGGACTACAGGCATGCGTCACCATGCCCGGCTAATTTTTTCTATATATATTTTTAGTTGTCCAGCTAATTTCTTCCTATTTTTAGTAGAGACGGGGTCTCGCTCTTGCTCGGGCTGGTCTTGAACTCCTGACCTTGAGCGATCCTCCCGCCTTGGCCTCCCAGAGTGCTAGGATTAAAGGCGTGAGCCACTGTGCCCGGCTTATTTTATTTTATTTTTTTTTTATCTAAATAGAGAGCATCAGGTTTATTCTCCTTCCATTTGAAACTACATACTGATCACAGCACTTTTTTCTTCATATTCCAGATGTGGCCTTAGAATTGTTCTCAACAGAAGATTCCAAGCAACTACTACGAATTCACTGGGGTTGGCCTGGAGTCATTCATTCAAAGGCTGTTTGTTGAGTGCCTATTTTGTGCTAGGCATTGTCACCAGGCACCAGGAACTCTCAACTCTTCACAATCAAGAGAGGTCTTTGCACTTATGGAAATAGATGGGTAAAACCAAAGTAATTATCAACTGTATCATGTGCAATGAAGAAAGAAAGCAGGAGCTGATACTGAGAATAAGAGGAGACCTACTTTGAATGGTGTGCTCAAGGAAGGCCTATTTGAAAGGTAAATTGAGAAGGGCAGGTCAAGTCAGCACTGTCTGAATTGGAAAACAAGAAATAACTCTTAAAAAAATGAGTTTATCTACTAAGGCTTCTCTCCATTTGGCCTATACCTTTTTTTAAGGCTTACAATCTGACCACATGGAAAAGTGTTAATAAAATAGATCTTACTACAAAGCTTCACCGATGTGGACCCAATGAGTAAAAAACAAACTACAGAGACCTCAACTTACGAGGAACACTTGCGCCTAGGAAACTGACAGGAAAAAAACATATTGGCTTAAACGCAGAAAAACGCGATTTAGAAAAGAAACAGGAAAAATGTAAAAATTAATCTCCTAGGGCAAAAAAGAGTACTTTTTCACATGTCCGAGATACATTAGTTGCTACTTTTCTACTTGCAACAGGTTCATTTTGTGCTTTCCTTCAGCTATATTTTTAAAGTTAAAAACTTTGTAGAGTCATAAGACCACGATTTTAATGTGTATTCTTCAGAGCCAGCAGCTCTCAGCTGGTGCTACCGCTGGCTCTGGCTTCCAGGGTCTGCTGCAGGCAGAGCAGCTCCACTTGTCTGTTAAAATTTATAACAGAAATTTGCTTTACAAGGAGGCAAATGAAGCAACACTAAATTTAGTAAGTAACAAATGACCCTAGGGCAACGGCTTTCAAAAATTTTCTAAGCAGCAGAAACCTTTCTTCCAACAAACTCTTCTGCATTAAGTCCAATACGGAGGGAGAGCAGACAAGTAGGGCTACTCTGCCTGCAGCAGGCCCGGAAGCCAGAACCGGCCTAGCTCCAGCTGAGAGCTGCTGGCTCCGAGGAATACACCACAGGAAAATAATCAACTCTCTTTCCAAGGATGACTCCTTCTCCCACATCCTGGAGTCTCTTCAGCGGGCTTTCAGAATCTAGCCCTCCTACTCTGTAACTTCACACAAAGGGGACATGAACTGGAAAATGTCACTTGCTGAAAGGTCTGGAAATCAATCAACCCATTGTGTTCTATTTCTGCTTACAAAACCTCCCAAAAGACAATGAAGTATAATAGATAATGTGCAATCTCATTTCCAAACATAAACTTCTTTCTCTAAACAGTTTTACTTCCAGTGGATAGGGCGTTTCTCAAGGAAATGGCAGGGGGAGAAAAAAGGAGTGTTGCAGCTGAAAAATAAGAATTTTTTTCATTTTGAAAAAATAAAAAATCATTCAATATTCTTTGCTAGCCATTACTCTAAATAAAGCACGGCGAGTCAGAATACTGCCACTAGGAAAGAGAAAGAAGCAAATAGCTTAATATATAATCTTTCTAAATTTTTCCTAACAAGCTGCCCCCATATTCCAACACTGATATCCTGACTACTACTTTCAAATAGCAATAAACAAACATTCTGTTTAAAAACTTACTGGTTCTCCAAGTTTATCCAAGTTATCCAGGAAATATTTTACAGATTCACCCTAAAAACAAGAAGAAAATAAATAATTATTGGGGCTTAGAAACGGAAGATCTTGTTACAACAGTTTATATTATACTATCTGGTTGTATGCTTAATCCAAACATACTGTGTTTAGTCATCAACTTCAGACTGAACAGCTAACCTTCCTAAAAACGTATAAAACCTCTGCTGTGTCACAAAATGCCAAATCTGCAAAAGGCTGTTTGATTTCACAAATGCTTTACATAAGTGATAACCCAAGTGATCATTTATTTGTGGACCAGATTACATGCATGCTTTCTGATACAACTATGTATCCACAGAGAAGATGTAATTAGAAGTTGAAAACTGCTTTTGAGATAAACATAAATCTACGACTAAAATTTAAGATTCTTTTTGTCTATGTTTTGCATCTTAAGTTTACAGCAACAGCAGTTATCATCAGTGAAAAGAACAAACTGGAAATAAGGTGAGAATACCATACAAAATCTCCCAGTAACAGGCGTGTGCCTGGACAGAAACACCTTGCTTAGAAGATTTTGGACGGTGCCGCAGGCACGAAGAGTAACCTACCCTTTCTGAGCCCAGGTTTTTGCTAGACTTCCAAGCAATTTCAAACACCTAAATTGTATTAGAATACTTTCCTAAAATGAAAACACTTGACAAAAGGACACAGAGAAGGGGGCGACCACTTTGGGAAGGTAGGGGTCTGTGTTTGAGACTCCAGTCCTCCTCCCTGCGTTTTCACTTTCCGGCTGGATGTTACCACTGCTGCACTGCCCCCGGCGGAAGCTGCTTCCACAGGTTCCTGAAGACAGGGTTTCTTTAGTGTACAGGAGAATCACCTGAAGATCTCGTTAGACTGCAGGCTCTGGTTTACTAGGTGTGGAGTAGGGACCCAGTTTCTGCAACTCAGGGGGTATCCGGAACCACACTGAGTCACGAGGTTTGAAACCGGCAGTTTTCAAACTTTTGGGTCTCGAGACCCCTTTACATGTCTTAAAGTTCTTGAGGACCCCGAAAAGCTTTTATTTGGGTTATAGCTACTGATATTCACCATATTATAAAGTAAAGCTGAGAATCTTTACCAAACACTTTATTAAATCATTTTATAATATCAATAATAAGCCCATTCCATGTTAACATATTTTTGTATGGCTTAATGGAGACGACAGTAAGTCTCTCATCTGCTTCTGCATTTGAACTGCTACAACAGGTTATTTTGGCTGAAGTATATGAAGAAACTCCGGCCATACATAAAGGTGTACAGTTGACCCTTGAACAACATGGGTTTGAATGGCATGGGTCCGTTTTTACGTGGATTTTTTTCAATAAAGGTTATACCAAGTGTGCTTGCCTTTCCTGCCTCCCCTTCTACCTTCTCCCTTTCACATTCTGCCACTTCTGAGACAGCAAGACCAACCCCTCTTCTTTCTCATCCTCCTCAGCCTACTCAGTGTGAAAACGATGAGGAAGAAGACCTTTATGATGATCCACTTCCACTTAATGAATAATAAATACTTTCTCTTCCTTATGATTTTAATAATTTTCCCTCTAACTTGAAGAATACAGCCTACGACACACATAGCATGCAGAATACGTGTTAATCAGCTGTTATCGGAAAGGCTTCTCTGGTCAACAGCAGCAGGCGATTCATAGGTAAGTTTTTGGGGAGTCAAAAGTTATGGAGTTTCGACTTTGTGGGAGGTTGGTACCCCAACCCCTGTGTTGTTCAATGATCAACTGTAGTTGAAAAGGGGAAGAATATTTTAATAAGCTTTTCAGATCATTGTAAATATTCTTCATTACTACACCAAAATTCGACAAATGGTAGTTTCTTAAAGGTTAGTTCCCTGTGAAATTGGAAACCCTACTAATGAACTTTTTGTATTGTTATGTTAAAATTCATGGGTCTATCCTGTACCTTGAATGGATCTTTTACCCACCCATGATTCTCTAACATCAGACAGTAGTCATTTGGAACATACTAGGTCACTTAGTTATGCAGATTTTTCCAAATACTGGCATGTTTCATTATACAATACTTAAAAATCATATTCATCAGTAACACCTCAATCTTATCACACATCTTTAGTATTGGGAAGCTGTCAAACTCACAGTGGCAGGCAGATATAAATTTTCCTAAATTCTAATTTTCACTTGAAAGCTCAAATTTTATCACTGGCAACAAAAACTTTCAGTTATTTTCCTTGAAGTGATTAACTTCATTTATCTTTTAAAAAAGAGTCTTTCAAATACTCTAGTCTGAATAAGTTAGTTGTTCATGGTGTTCCATGAAAAATGTGGCTACTTCAGCTCACAAGGCACCAGCCACCCAAGTACTTTCCCTGGGGACAATCATCCTGCAGCAGGAGTAGTTTTAGTGTTTATCTCCCATGTCGTCACAGAGAATAGTAAAGAGATGTATGCTTAAGGGTGAAGATTTTCTTTTTTTTTTTTTTGAGATGGAGTCTCACTCTGTCATCTGGCCTAGAGAGCCGTGGCATCAGCCTAGCTCACAGCAACCTCCGACTTCTGGGCTCAAGCGATCCTCCTGCCTCAGCCTCCCAAGTAGCTGGGACTACAGGTGCACGCCACCATGCCCGGTGGTGTGCTAAGGATTACTAAAGCAGGGGTTAAACATTTTTAAGATGCCTGATACTCACCACCTTCTCTTTCCTACCTCCCATAGTTGAAACACTGAGTTTATTTATTAATAGTGAATCTAGATGAAGATAAACTAAGCCAAGATTGCGTAAGAGTGTTTTGCAGATGTTTCTATAATTAACTAAGGTGAAAACTCCGAGAGGCTCCACATCGTGGTGGCTAATGTTTATCATTTCAGGGACATGAGAGCAAAGGGGCTATATTTAAAAGAGAATATAAATCCCACATCCCAACGAACAAGTTCAACTGCACAAAAAATTATTTCAATTAGCATTATTTGTCTTAAATGATGGTCAGATAAGTGAAAGTTAAAGTAACCTTAAAATGAACACATTAAAATGTCTAAAGCAACAAACTCTTTGCCTCCTATAAAAGTAAATGCTTACACCCAAACCCACATTGTTTGTGAGGGTATAAAGCAATTAGTATTCTCATTTTAGCGACCTTGCAAATTCACACAAACATTTTGGAAAGTTATGCGTAGCATGCACCATAAAACTGTTAATGACCTTTGGCCAATTCTAAGAAACTGATTCAACATAAACAAAATAACACATACAAAAATATATTTACTCAGTGCTATCTTTTTTTTTTGAGACAAAGACTTGCTCTGTTGCCCCAGCAAGAGTGCAGTGGTGTCATCGTAGCTCACTGCAACCTGAAACTCCGGGACTCAAGCTATCCTCCTACTTTAGCCTCCAGAGTAGCTCAGACTACAGGAGTGTGTCACAATGCCCAGCTAATTTTTCTATTTTTAGTAGAGACTGGGTCTTGCTCTTG